TCTACTGACAGGTTTCTACTAAATACATATTTAGTTCAAATTTTAGTAGTTCAAATTTTAGAATTACAAACAGAAGAAACACACTAGTATTAGAAAAATTATGTTAATCATGGAACATCTTCATATAATCTCAAAGACCTTCCTCTATACTATTTACCTGTGCCTTTCAGGTGAAATTTATGAATTAAGTATGATATTCTGCTTTTTCACTTTCTCTTTTCTGCTTCTCCTTTTTGTTGCCTTTGATATAAAAATGATTCTGCCCATAACTGGATATGTTTAGCATATAGGATAGGTTTTGTTATCAATTTTTTCCTGTAGATAGAATCTGTTTAAATCAGATCTTTAAATCTGCTTAGGTTTTGCTTAAAGCAAAGGTCACAGGAAAAAATTATCAAGAAAATAGAGAAATACTGTTGCATTCTCTCTGGCTTTGCTCTTTCTGATCCATCCCTTCTCCCTAAGTACCTTCCTGGGTTTGATCTTTAACCGTCTCATCTCTCACAGTACTAACATTTATATAATCTCACTTTTAACAGCCACATCTATATTGATGTTTCCCAATATTATAAATCAGCTTAGGAATTTGCTCCTGATTTTCAGACCAAAAGCCTTGACTTCTCTATTTGACCTTGGGCAGATGTCTCAAAGTGAAATCATTTTCTCACTCAAACTTATATTTGAGTGAGAAACTTATATAATCCCACATTCCTCCATCTACTTACCTCAGAGCCCAAAAAGGATCACTGAATCAAAAAGCAGAAGATAACTATACTTGTTAATGCTTCTGTTTCTACCTTTTTCTTTTACTCACTTCTTCATTCTTCCACGAATGTCAGTTCCTCCAGAAAGCGTTCCCTGATTTTCCAAATCCAAAATTACATGTCTTTAAGTCCTTCTATGAAACACTATTAACTACTACTTTGATCACATACTAGTTTAACTACTGGATGATGTTATTCCTTCGCATTAAGAAGATGAAATTCATTTCATGGTAATCACTGAGTAAATATTCATGAAAAAAAATTATATAAAATCTATACCTTTCAATGTACTTTATTTTGCTATATGAATGGAATCAGATTATCCTATATTTTTCTGCCTGCACAGATGAAGCATCTATGAAGTTTACAGTCTAACATATATTTTTTCCCTTTTAAACACTTTCTCAAATAGTTTTTACAGAGCCAATGTAGAAATAATCATTAACAACTGGAACATTTTGTCAAAAGTTTTATAGGCAATATACAAATGGTTTTCACTTTAGAGTTAAGATAAATCCATTATAGTCTGTGACTGCAAGTATCTTCATTATTCACGAGCTATTTATCATCTGTTTTTGTCAATAAAGTCACTTTTCACTCATAGGAAGGGGTATTTTCTTTTTATATTTAAATATTGTACTAATCCTGGTACTAGAAATCAGAAATTTAAAAATTAAATTCTATTGAAAAAAGGATAGAGATTGGAAGATACTTTCCAATGTGCTTTCTAGAAAGAAGATATTCTTAAATTAGGGTGTCAGTTTTCTTTCTAATATTAATTCCTGACACTGTACTTGATCAACATAATACTCTTCAGTTAATTTTTGATAAGCACTCTCTTGGTAGCATGAAACCAAACTAGTCATTTACTATAACAGACACTGCGTGCTGATTAGGGAGCTTCAGCAATAAGTAGGTTATACATTGTAATGTACAGACCAAGTTTAAAATTGTTTCAAAAAAAATCAAATGTGTTAGAGTAGAATGAAAGCTTCCACAGAGAGAGAGAAAAAAGTGTCTATGATGCAGCAGATTAAAAGAACACAATGAAAAAAGGAGAGCAAGAGAAAAAGAATGAAAAAGGAAAATATATTTTAACAGCAGGCAAGGATATGACATGACATTAAAAAAAAAAAGAATAAAAGTATAGAGAGATAGGTGGGAAAACAAAGTCAAAATTAATGACAAAAAATAAAAAGTCTGCCAACAGATTTAAAACAAAGTATAAACCTGAGCAAATGCCTTTCAGTGTGCTTTTCCAGGAGGTGCCAATAATAAGATTATTACTTCAGAATAGCAAATATTGCTGTATTTTAAGAATGTCATGATAGAATCCCTTATATTCCATTACTTTAAAACTTTTTCTTAAATTTTGAAATGTTTTTCACTTTGACAACAATGCTAAGGCACACAGAAAAGCAACATATCATGAATCAGTGTCTCCAGTTGGTTGGCTTGGCTTATTAGGGCACCATTTGTATACTTCACAGCTACTAGCTGGGAAGACTTTTACTTATTTCTTTTTATATGTCTTCTCCCTCTTTAAAAGTCTACTAAGACCATCACACAGGTGAAAAGTAAGGCATATATATATATTTTTAAAGATTTTATTTATTTATTCGTACAGAACTGGGCTACAGGCCAGAGATGCGGAGGGTGAGAGGATTCACCAGAGACAGAGCGGGGAGCAGAACAGGCAGATCGACGAAGTACACTGCTGAGGGGAGCAGCAGGCGGGTCAGGAGAGGTCTGCCACGCCATGTGGTCGCCTCGGGGCAGGCGGGGATCGAACTCATGCGGAAGTGGCTTTAGTTTCTTAGTGTAGTGCTTTAACCTGCTGCGCCACCAGGGAGGGCCGGCATATTGTTTTTAAGCAAAATGCTGTTGCTTTGCTTTCTAAACTCCAGCATCTCAGGAACACTTAATAGCTCTATTTTTCTTTTAGTGCCTTGTTTCTGAATCTGTTCCTGTTAATGAAAATATTCTAGATTTATGCAAATAAAGAAAGACAAGGTATAGCAACGTAAGTAAACTTATTAATCTGAAACATTGAAAGAGTAGCCTAATAGTAGATAGTTTCAAAATACGAACCAGATAGTCTCCTTTTTTAGCCTTTTGCAAACTGACAATGTGGAATATAACTTTCTTATTTGCCGAATGATTACAAAGTTCATGCAAAAGAACTATAGACAAATACATAAGTACAGAGCTAAAACATGTGAAAATCATTGATTTCCTGGGATTTAAAATTTTTAATGCTTTGACGAATACTTGTTGAGATTTTCTTATTTTAAAGTCTCTGTTTTAGATAAACTGCAGGGAGGGGAATAGATGTGAGAAAAATCACATCAAACAGCATGTCAGAATCTAGTAAAATCCTACAAGCAAAATACAAGAGGTAATACAAGAGGATGGACTCAGGGAATCTAATAGAGAATCCATCATTTGTGATGGATCTGGAATGGAAGAGTGTATAGGACTTTGAAACCAGAGACAAGATTTGACTATTTTATTTCCATTGAATTTTGCATATTTAGGAACTCATCCTACTTTATCTGATATTACCATGTTTCTTTTTTAATTTTCTGTATAAAACCTCCATTACATGACCCTACTGGGAATCATATCATATTAATCACTATTTCCTAAGTAAACGAAATATTAAAAAAAAATTACTTTACCTCTATTCCTACTATTCTCTCTGCCTGCTTCTCCCTTAAGTAGGTTACAAAGGCATAATAGAAGGCGAAGTTTGTTTTCAATGTTTTCCTTGATCTCTCCAGGAGTGTGTTATCTATTGCCCCAGTATTTCCACATCTCTTTGTGTGTTGTTTAATTATTTGTCTCATATTGTATCCCTTCAATTATAAGCATATGCCTTCAAGCAAACAGATTCCTAAAGCGTAGGCCATGATATGGTCTTTTCTGAATCCTCAAGCTCAGTATCTCTCGGTTGACTGAGTATTTGTCTGCAAGCACTCTTGATGGAATCAGGTCTTGGTGGAAGGTTGGTAAGCTCAAAGCTTCTGGTTCACAGAAGCAGTGGCTGGTAATGAAAAAACCAACTCTGGATTCGGATTCCCCCTCTTCTCTGCCCCTCAGGAAGCACCCCGAAGGCTAAATTTAGCTATGCAGCCTGAAAACCCACAAAGCTGCTAGCAGCTACGGCAGACAAGGATGAGGCTAGACCTCGCTTTTAAATACGCTTTCCTAACCTCATCTAAAGGCTTGTCCTCACCGCTCTTAAGTGAACCTCTTTCTATTCCAGGATGGGAAAACACCTCCCTTTTTTTTCAGATTGTGAGCAAGGAAGGTGAAAAAAAATGGGACTTTCCTAGGTTGGGAGTGGGGATTCCCTCTCCTGGACACGTATTTCCCAACCCGCCCACCTCAGCTGAAGGCGATCAAAGCTAAGGAGCTGGGGGATGCACTCGGGAACACCACGGCCACCCCGCGGCTCCCGACTCCCGTAGAAGGGTCTGGAGCCTGGGAAGCCGCCCGGGAAGCTGGCCCCAGGGTGGTCCGCGGGCACTTCTGGGCCGCCACAGTGTGATGCTAAAGAGGGGGCGTCGCGCTGGCTCGACCAGGCGCGGCGGCGGCGCGAGAGAGCGGCGGCGGCGGCGCCA